GAGTAAATTCTGGTTACATTTAATTACCATTCTTTAATAGAAAATGTAAGTACTATTACGTTCACTGAGAATGCCCAAAAGGGAGAAAATCTGATAGGTTGTTAGTTTGCTAATGTGATACATTATTTAGAACTTTCCTTCAGAAATTCAGTACTAATTAGTAGTGAGTAGGGAATAAAATGAGGTGAGAAGTAAGTTGATTGACACTAGGTTACCTTTATGTAAAAAAATCTGTGGGCTCATTCATATTCCGCTGGATGATTGTCAAGAGTATAAAATCCTGCATTAGCATTACTCATACCAAGAAATGTTATCTTTGAGTTGCATACCACTTAATAACACATGAAATAGAAAAGCAAGTGAATAAAATACTCTCTGCTTACATCTGTGCTCAATTCTATTGTTAACTAAAATAGGGACAGGATATCACGCAAATACTTCTCACAACTTCTGGTTCACTTTTAATCATACATTAAACAAAGAAAAGCATATATTTTTTTGTGAAGGATTACTATAAAACCAAGCACTGATAAAACAAGCAAAGAATTTTTTGCCTTTCTTTTTTTCTGGAATGTAATGATAATTACATTCCAGAAAAATATAAGAAATCCTTTTCTGTCCCCTTATGAGGTATGCTATAACCTATGGAGTGAGATGTCTTAACTTTTTCCTGTTAAAATTGAAATGTCTAAACCACTTCTTGTAATTTCAGATGCGCTGACCAAATTACCTATTACCTTCCCTCTGCCCCTTAACTGAACCATTCAGAGTGATTATAAACRGACTGATTTAGTCATAGTCAATTATATTTAAAATTTCTGAATACAAGATGAATTCTAGTGGTTCTATTTAGCAAATATTCTTCAGCTATGTACAGCTCCTGAATAAWAGATAATAGTCACACTTCCCCCAACTACAGAATCTGGTTTGTTATGAYAGAATGAAGAAAGTAATCAAGAGAAAAAGTGTGGTTTTGAAATGAACCCATTCTCAGGGTTTCTTACAAAGTATKGTTGCGTCAGTTCATGAAACAATGAGCAATGATTCTAATATTYCACTTATGCTACCCAACATGCAATCAATTCTGAATTGGACCATAACTGCTGTCTAATGATGGACCATGATGATTCAACAGTCCTTGAGGGCTGAGGAAAACAGGCATCTTTAACCAATCTGTGTATATCTCATCTCAGTGAATAGTGGCATGTCCTCATTCGTAAGATCAAAACATGAAGAAGAGTCTGAAAGTGATTTATTTGAATGTTAGGAGGAACTTAATTTAAACTGTACATTGATAATCAAGATGTACTTTAATATTTTGAGTTGATTTATCTCTAGTTGTACTGATGTTCATTTTAACAASCCACTACATCCTTTTTTTCACCTCAAAACCTTCTGGCTTCAACTATGCCAAATAACTGCTTCAAGAATAGAGGAATTATTGCATGAGACTTGGCATATTGTGAATATATTTCTGACCTAGAACTAGAGAACTGAATATAAATATGCTCACTGATGTTTTCAGAATACCACTTTAACCAAGCTGTTATCTAAGGCTGTTTTATGAGGGGGAATATTTCAATTTTTTATTATTAAAAGAAAAAATACTGTCTTCAAAATCCTACATGTCTTTCAGACTCTGCTTATCTTACTTTTGCATTAAACACCCTACTTCCAAGGTTGCAGCTTAACTTCTGTTTGGGATATGGGAAGTGTAGCTTCTACTCTTTTGCAATACTGTTAAGATTGCCATGTTGCTCTGAAAAAAAAATTTTACTTATTTTTGAACACTTTATATTGTATACTGAACTTACTATACTTACCTTTTTGGTTTTGGGGATGGGGAAACATTAATAAATGGAATTAATAAATAAAATTATTTTAATTATCATTATTGCTATTTATTCTTTTATTATAATTATTATGTTTTAATTATTAATTAAACAAAAATGAATTAGAAAGAAAAATAATAAATGAGGAAATATTAATAAATAATACTTAGAACAATAACTCCCATCCT